TCTTAACAATAATTTGTCAAACTGTGACTTACTTTGAATTTCCTTTCACGAATTTGCGGATATGCGATTAGTTCAGGGGAAATGCTACAGTAACAGTAGCAGAAGCTGAAAGAACTCACGCCAGGAAGATAGTTGGATGTTCGGGTTCCAGACACAGAGGAACAAGTATTGGACATAATCGAATCAGGGCCTTCCAGGGGCCACTCAGCGCACAATAACTGACACTTTCCCAAACATCAAATAAATACCGAGGAAGGGCTACATTCCTGCCACGTTTGTACGATACACACAGCACAAGGAGATACAAATGGAGCAGGAGTTAATGAACTGAATACGAGAAGCTGCTTGATAAGAGCGGATAATAAGGAGATTACACAGGCACTAGCTTGTTTGGAGTTAACCATTCAAATGTTTGGTGTTGTATGGTTTCTTTATAAACACCAATATTCGAGGTTATGAGAGCAGGTTGACATGTCGTTATTGTCAGTCTGTATAATCCCATGGTTATCGGAGTTTTAAATAATTACGGAGCCACAGGTATTTGCGCAATGTTAATTAGGCAGATTACCTTGAAAAACACTGCTGCCGTATTTCTGATATAGTTTTTTGCAAATTTCTCAGTTTTCAATAACAATTAATTTATTTTACTATTTTTTCTGTACTCCTATAACAGCTCCAGACAACACCTCCAGATGAATGTCGCCAATTTTGAATCACCCAGTATTGTTTTGCTCGGCAGCCTTAGGCGCTGTAAGAGTATGATAACGTGGACAAACAAACGAAGGAAAAAAAACAGACGAATGATTTCATCTGGCCGGATATGGCTCTTGAATTTGAATGCCGGCAGGGTGTTGGCCATGCAGAGACGCCGGAACTTTTTCAATTTTCAGTGGCTCCATCTGGAAGCCGTAATTGCCGGGGATCAGGCCGCCGCCCCTACACCCCCCAACCAGTGCTCCCGCTCGCCCCCCGGGATTCGGAACGGGGGTAGGGACTTGACGAGGCGCGGGGGTGGCGAAAAACCACCCCCTGAACCCGATCAATGTTGACACGGCACGCTAGATTGCCCCGTGACGTCATCTTCAAGCAATATTGTATGTGTGTAGTGCAGAAAACGGACCTACTTCCGGCCGGTTTGACAAACTTTTAATCGCATGGGGCCTTTTAGGCTTGCTCCTCCCCCCTAAAGAAGTGTTAACCAAAGCTCCAAATTAGCGTCGATCAGGGAATATATTCCAGGCGCCAATTAAAAACAAAGAGAGACGCATTAACACTCCCCTCATAAAACCATAATATCCGTGGCGCGAGCGGCTTTTGCCCCTTGGGGAGCGAAATGTGGAGCAACCTGTCGGCCCTACAACGACACAGCCCGAGGGCGTCCCGACGGCACTCAGCCACAAAGAAGCTTCGGGCCCTTTTTTTCCCTTAAACGTTGCGCCGATAATGACTCAACCAGTTGTTTCTGTGCTGATTATTATAGGTTCCGCAGCCCCATGCGCCGCTATAAATAACTGAGAGGCTACCGATGTATTTTTCAAACAAATTACTATCAATTTCCCACAGACACACGAGAATATCCCGATGGCGACTTATGAAGAGCGGGGAGGGATGGAGCAGGTATCATTATTTCAACCCGCCTGGCTGCGTTTGCAATTTCGCTTCTATCGATCCTCTCTAAATGGCTTAGGTAAAATTGCTGGGGTTTTCGCGTTTGGACATTGGTAGCATCACAGAAGTTCTTGGCATGTGCATCTAGCCGAGTTAGATGGACGAATGGCCGCAAACGCATTTGCATGCCGGAAAACCATACCCTTGAAAGCTTGTTTGGTAGCCTATTGATTGTTTGCGGTCGCAAACAAGAGGGGGCAGAGGGCACTTGAAGCGACCTTTTCACAACTCTCATCTTGGATATTCTTTGTCACGATCTTGTTACGTGGCTGCTGCTCGACTGCGGTCGTTTGCCCTCGAACCTGACTCTATGCGCCATTTTAAGAAAGCAATAATCGATCGCAGCTAACTAATTCCATACATAGATGCCAATTATTCGAGTTTCTTTCCACGGTTCATCGTTCGAAATCGCCATCTGCACAATCTGCTCATCATTTTACTTGCATTGTTTCCCTCGGAACCGCTGCTGCGGTTCTTTGGCAGCCAGCACCTTACAGATTGGCGACGAGCTGAAAGTAGGAAAAAGCAATCCTCTAATCCTCCATTCAGGAGTTTATCAAGTTGAAGAGATCCCTTCTTTCCTCATTATACGCCCTGCCGTTTATTCTGCGTTGCAAGAAGCAAGGTCAAGCGCCGCCGACGTCGACGTAGGCGCCGCGCCGCGCAAAACGAATCGAGGACGCCGGGATTCGATGACAAAGCGGGATCGATTTTGCTCCATTTCGCTGTGATGTGCCGTTTATCCGCCTTCTCTTGCGTTGCACTGAACAAACCGAGTTTAACACCGTTGGTCGGGAATAGTTGTCATTTCTACAGCTGCTCCAGCGGCGTAACCAGCCGATTTTCACACGAAAACTGCCCCCTTTTCTGAGGCGCCTCACTCTTTCAACTGACAACCACTGGAATGACATCTAAATCGTTTGCTCTTTTGCGACATTGTCACTGTCTTACTTGCTTAGACGTCAATCAAAGTCAGTCGATCTTAGCTAATAGTGACGCGGCAGTAATAATAACATTTGACTAAAAAGAGCCCAGACAATTTTTTTTTTAAAACGCGAAAACGATAGGCTGGATTTTAATTTAACCGAGTTCATCCGCTTTGGCACAAGAACTACCACAACTCTTTTTTGAGTTAATGCACTAATTCTTTTTGAACATTTTGCGCTTTTGCGCCAAAATGAATTCGCAGTATCCGTTTGACGTCCTCTGTATAGTCGGACTTTTCCAACACAGGAAACACAGAAGCGGCTAATTGTAGCCCCCTGGGAATACAACGTTGCCAGTATCTAATGTTATGTCAGGTATCGTGTCAAGTGTCAAATCTTAAAAAGGTGACGTTAGAACTGTTAAAAGTGGGAAGTGAAGTGGTTTGGTTTATGACTGACCACCTTTTGACTTGAATGTGTCGAAGTAGTATCAGTGTTCTGTCGTAATAACGTACAAAAAATAACTTTTATATCATTTTATATCATTAGTTATATCTATTTCCTATGTTTGTCAAAAAAGCTTTTCAACACAGGGAAACCTCAATAAACACTATCGTACAAATCATGGTACCCCAGTGAATAAACTAAAATTGTGTTTGATTTTCTTTATAATTGTTATTTATACATGGTGTTCCGTAAATATGTTAAAATATTTTAGCAGCGTGTTCTCCTAGTCATTTTAGAGGGGGGTCTTCGTGAGAACTTTTTTAATTTGTGGTCTCATTTTTGAGATATTTGATCTCCAAAATGGCGAAAAATATTAGTTTTTGTTGTTTTTCTTTAAAACTGTTAAACATTGGGAACTTAAATTTTGGTACACATTATAAGATAATTGAAAGCCATTGTATAGTAGTGTTTTGTAGTTCAGTTTACTTTTATACAGGTTAGACATGTGGAACTCCTACTTTTGTCTTGTTCAGAACTTTTTTGTGTGCACTTAAACTTTTATCAACATAATTTTTTTAATTACCACAAGTTATTTGTCAATTTTTTATCTCTTATTGTTTTTTCTTAATGGCACTAGTGTGCCCGCAAAAAAATTAAATCGTTTCGGCTTAATCAAAACTTTCCAGGCCGTTGGATTGCTAGAGGTGAAGAAGCTCCTATAAACTCGCCTCCCTAGATCTCCCGATTTAAACGCGCTTGATTTTTACTTCTGGGACCATTTAAAAAGTATGGTATATTCACCAGAAGTGAATACAATCGAAGTACCTTAGGAAATAATTTTTAATATTTCTAACGAAATAAGAACTTTACGGTCTGAAAATTTTAATTTCATTAAAAGACTGTTGTTAATAATAGCTAATAATGCTAATAAAACAATATACATTAGAATGGTTATTTAAATTAAATTTTGTTTGTTTATATCGTTGCGCATATTGTTACCATGTTTTTATTTAAGTAAAATTTATTCAAACTATAATGTATATTATTTTAATTATTCTTTTTCTAATTCTTTCAACATTAGAAATCTTCAACTGATTT